ATCTCGGCGTAATTGCGTGAATACTTATGCAAATACGCCGCTAGCCCAAGGAATTTTCGAAGATCTTTGACATCAACCGGCACGGGCCAGTCGGTGATCGCCTTGATCTTTTCGGGATCAGGACGTACACCGTTCTTACCAACGATGCACCCAAGAAGTGGTATTTCGCTTGCTGCAAATATACACTTCTTGAGGTTTGCATACAATTGATGCTTTCGCATGATTGTAAGAACCTGTTGGACGTGGTACCTGTGAACCTCAACGTCCGACTTTCCATCCATAGCCCGACTATGAATGAATACGTCATCGAAATAACTCGGCGCGAATTCTCGTACTGGTCCCAACAGATGTGATACACATCTGTTGAACGTGGCAGGGGCATTACTAAGCCCTTGTGGCCTTACTAGCCATTCCCAGAGCATGCCGCTAGGCGTGCTAACTGCGGTATAGGGTATATCCCGTTCCCGCATAAGGATTTGATAGAAGCCATCCATCAAATCCATGGACGAAAAGATGGTACTCTTTGACATACCATCAATGATTACGTCCTTCCTCGGTATCGGCGTCTAAGCCGGTACCGTTGCAGCGTTCAATTTGTTGAACGCGTGCACTATCTGCCACCCCCCTGTTGCTTTTCACACACAGAAGGTCGGAGAGCTATGTGGGGAAGTTGATTCCCTCACATGGCCCGCTGCTAAACTATCGGCAAAGAACTTGTCGATCGCAAGTACTTGTTCACGAGGCAGTGGCCACTGCTTCATGACACAGTACTTCGAGCCTGGTTTAAGCTCGACCTCGTGTTGAATACCTTTATCCTTCGGTAATTCGCACGGAATAGTTTCAGGGAATACATCCTTGAATTCAACCAAACCTTCATAGAGAGAATTTGTCTTGGGCGATTCCCACGATTGGGAGTCATATCGCTCAACTCGTGTTTTTTCATCTAGGACACTCTCGTCCATAGATGAACTACTGAGAACTCTCTCGTTCTCAGTGATCACTGTTGCTGACCTTATGTCGGTTACACACTTGTCGTCAGCGACGAGTACGCAGATCTGCTTGACTTTGCCACTACGCAGATCACGCAAGAACCTTTTATGTTCGAGCGTTGGCAACTGAGTGATCTCCGAAGTCAACTTCGGAGGCGCAATCAGATCAAGTGTATAAGCGCCTACACTTGATCCGTTATTGACTATGACATTCAATGTCTCTGTCATTTCCTGGGGACTTATTCCCTCAGGCTTCGAAGGACTTATTCCTTCGGCTTCCCGGGGACTTATTCCCGCGGGTTTCGGGGAACTTATTTCCGCCGTATTTGTAATCTTGGGACTTATTCCCTTTACTTCCTCTAGCTGGGGTTGCGCAACCACAGCGAGATCCTCTACGAAAGACTCTCCCGTCGATCTAGGATTATCGTTTCGCTTAACCTGAGCAATCGATTGTTTCTCTTCTAGATGTTCCCCGCTAGGGATACATCTTTGTCCCAGTCCACCCGACTTATTCGAGTGGTGGACCTTCGGCGCAGCCTGTGTTTCCTCACAGCCGCCGGAACTTTGCTCCGAAGTGTAACCGTTTGGTACACTAAGGTTTTGTGCAGTCGTACTAACGACCGTACCACAAGTGAGGCCATCGCACTCACTCGTAGTACATCCACACGCTTGTGGACGCTCCAAAACGTTCATCAGATGGCCATCTGATGAGCAAGCGGCAGGCATCGTTACTGTTCGATGTTGCCGGTTTACCCGTGGTTCGTACCTTCTGAGCCACGGTATTCCAAGGATGACATCAAATTTGTCATCCAAATCCAATACGATAAAGTCATCGTCATATTGGGTATCTTCTAGAGTATAGTGAATATTCACTATACGCTTCATGACGGTTACAGATGCGCCTGCCGCAAGACGTACCGTCATCCTCGTAGGAGGTGTGTCACATTCACTGAACTTAAAATGACCATCTTCTAGCGATTGGCGTCGCACAAAATTGCTAGACGCCCCACCATCGACTAGAGCTTGGAGGGATAACTTATTCGTCACTTCGAGTTTCAAGGTAATGAGTGAGATCTCATTACCTAGAGCAGCAACGCACAACGTTTGTGTGTTGGGAGCAACCTTCACCAAGAGGCTACAAATTCTCTTGACGTTGCTGGACCAGTAGGGTGCTCCGCACCTACTGATCCTGTCCGTTTTTTGACGGTCCATCCCGTTGTTGCGTCTTTGCACCAACAGCGGACCCTCGTCCCTTCCCCTTTCTCATGGGTGGACGGTCAATACGCCCAGTGTTGCGAGACACTGGACGAGGGGCACTACACTCGTAAGCGTAGTGTCCTGTCTTTTGACATCTGTTGCATCTCTGCAACTTCTTGTAGTCTGTAGAGCGAGCCTTCTCGCTCTCTACATAACAGAGTTCCATCGGCTCTGGACCTCCGCTGTCATATCGTCTCGGTTGACGATATGATGTCGAGCTGGCGCGAGCCTGTCTCAGACTGAAGTCTTCCTGCTCCGCAATGGAAATGGCTTGTTCTAGTGAATCTAGTTCAAGCCGGAACAGGTGAGACTTGACGGGACCATCCGCAAGACCCTGCATGAACACCGAAACCAACGTGTGTTCATCCACCGGATTAGAACTTATACAACTCGTAAGATGTCGTATATGTTGCGCGTAAGCGTGCACATCACGCTTACCCTGATTGAGCTTCAAGAGTTCGGTTCGAGCTTTGAACTCAGCTCTAGGCGGTTCAAACGTTTGTCTGAGCCGCGACTTGAAGACTTCCAACGACCCAAACGCATATGGGTCGTGCAACTTAAGCCCCAGTGCCCAAGTCTTGGCACGTCCTGCCAGATTTGACTGGGCAAATGCAACTTGCATTTCCCCATCGTCGATGCGACGCGCCCTTATGGCGTCACCCAATTTGACGAACCATCTCAAGAGGGAGTCCTCTTCGACTCCCCTATACTTGGAGATGTCAATCTTCAAGGTTTCGGGTCGACGCGAATGCATCGACCCACCAGCAGCAGCCTGCTGCTGTCTCAACAGTTCAAACTGTTGAGCACCCTGTTCTCTCAACAACTTTGCTTGTTGAGAGCCTTGTTGGTGAAGCAAGGCTACTTTCTCGCGTTCAGCGTCAAGTTCATTTTGAATGAACTTGGCGATAGTAGCATGTTGGGCATCTGTATTGAGAGCCTCTAGCATGACGCTAACAGCCTGGATGCCCATGGTTGAACCCATCCGTTCAACCGCATCCCATTCGACATCGCTCAAATGGGAGTAGCCGTCACGCGTAGCGTGAAAGCTTTGGTCATCTTCATCGTCCAACATATTCATGTTAGATGTGAACGTGGTCCTTGGACGGACTACGAAGTGCTACCAGGTGTAACGGGGCACCCTGAAGCTTGTACTGGTGACAGTACAATCTACTTATTCTGATAACAGAATAAGGCGGTGCCTCGGAACTTCACGTACACTCGTACGTGCAGAGGAAGACGGTAAGAAGAAGCGAGTACTTGGTTAAAGTAAAAAAGTAGAACCGTATTTAGTATAGTTAATGTCTGCAATAAATCACTATTTATCCTCATCTAACTATGTCTGAATACAAATGTGCATATCAATTATCTGCTCACCACTCATTGCGTGCGTCTGTCGTGGCGCGTCTTCGTTGGTTGATATAATGGCCTATATCAACCAATTGGGAACTACTCGTAAGTGCTACAGAATATTTGTCCTTATGACAATATTCTGAGAATATAACTCTTATAGTTATATTCTATTAGCAATTTCTTATAAATTGTTATGTAACGATTCACCCCGTTACAGCGATGCTTTGGGACTTGACAAACAGCTTTTTCTTCTTTTTTAAGTCTTTTAAAAAAAGTCCATACCCAGCTTGTCTTCTTGCCACCACTGGACCTGGAATCAACCTCTGTTTCCTGGCTAACACTGTCGGCGGACGCAACCGATGATGCAGATTCCGATTTTATCACTTCGAAATCCATGACCACAGATTTTTTTTACTTGTTAGAATCCCTATTTGGAAATTTATCAGCCAATAGTATTTAGAGCCTCTGTCATGCCCGATCTCTAAGTGGAAGAAAATGACTGGAAACGGGACTCAGACCCAGATGCAGCATCATAAATTATCAAGAAAAATTTACATTTTTATGATAATTTTTTTTTAAAAGGGACCATTGGGTCCTGATCCGGGTCGACCCTCGACCCAAGACCCGGACCAGCTGGGTCAAACACTGGGTCGACCCAACAAAACTGGTCCGGGTCGGAGCCCTAGCCGTATGTCCACACGGCCAGCAAAGTTTCGGACTGCACGCACAGTTGTGATGTGCAGCAACCACTGCAGCTCAGACCGATTTGACTGCTTCATTGACGCGACTACAGTTACAACTATCAACGGCTTGTAAGTAAGAGTGCGCGGTTTTTTGTACCTACTGATTCTGTTCACACATCGGTAGCCTCAAGTGTGTAGGACGGACATGACACGAAGTGCCCGTAAACGGACGAAATAAATGAGGCGCCGTCAGGAGCCGTTCATCCGGACCACTTGAGGTTCAAGAAATACGCAATGGAATGTCACAAGAATAGCGCCCATCTGGGTTTTTTGACACTGCTGAGGCCGCTTCTGCCCCTGAGTTAACATTAGTTCACGCGCGGGAGAACTAACAGTGCCGGTCTATATACCTGCGGTGCCAACTTCTATCTCCCGTTGTGCCTTTACAAAAGACCTCGGACAAGTGCTGGAACTCGCTCGGGTGATGCATAACGAGGACGTCAGATACGCCACAGCTCGGACGCACATAGCAAGTGCTTGAAGCTCTGGTTCAGCGAATCCGCTGATATAGATATCCAGACTGTACGTAATGGCTACGGGTAGAGACGTCTGGACTCATAACACGGACCCTGATCAGTCGCAAACCGCCTCCAGCTCACCGATTCATCATCACTTTTCAATTGTCGTGGAACAACTCAGCCAGAAATCACATTCATCTGCCATGCAACGTCATGTTTTGCACCGTCTGACACGAGCAATCAGCTGCAGCTCCGTCGCTGCCAAGAGTTCGACGGTCACGCTGCTGCCGCGACACTTCTCCGTGGAAATACTACCCCCAGTGAAGCAGACGCTTTTGTTTATCAATAACAAATTTGTTCCATCGTCATCGGGTGCCACGTTTGACACGTTCAATCCGGCCACGGAAGAGAAGATTGCGTCGATCGCAGAGGCGACTCGGGCTGACGTTGATGCCGCTGTAGACGCTGCACGCACTGCTTTCAATGGCCCGTGGCGTACCATTGACGCTTCCGAGCGCGGTCGTCTTCTCTACCGCCTTGCAGACCTCATTGAGCAACATGGCGACGAGCTGGCACGACTCGAGGCCCTTGACGCCGGTAAACCTACCACCCTGGCCCGTGTCGTTGATGTGCAAGCGACTCTGAACGTGCTGCGGTACTACGCTGGCTGGGCCGACAAGATCCACGGTATCACTGTCCCCATTTCTGGTCCCTACTTGTGCTACACGAAGCAAGAGCCCGTGGGCGTGTGTGGCCAACTCGTCCCATGGAACTTCCCGATGATTATGATGTCCTGGAAGCTCGGGCCGGCGCTTGCTGCTGGTAACACGGTGGTGCTCAAGCCCGCCACGCAGACTTCGCTCACGGCTCTGCGTATCGCTGAGCTCATTGTCGAGGCTGGCTTCCCCGAAGGTGTCGTCAACGTTGTCACGGGTGGTGGCAAGACTGTTGGTGCCTACCTTTCGCAGCACCCGAACGTGGACAAGATTGCCTTCACGGGCTCCACAAGGACTGGAATGGCCATCATGCGCTCGTCCCATGTCGACAACCTCAAGCGCGTGAGTCTGGAGCTTGGCGGCAAGTCTGCCAACATCATTCTCGATGATGCAGACATTGATGCGGCCATCGAGCAGTCACAAAAAGGTTTGTTCATTAACTCTGGTCAGCTCTGCATCTGTGGCAGCCGCGTGTACGTGCAAGAAGGAATCTACGACGAGTTCGTCCGTCGATCTGTCGAGGCTGCAAAGACCATAAAGATTGGGGATCCGACCGATCCTAGGACTCAACAAGGTCCACAGATTGACGGCGGGCAGTTGAGAAGAATTTTGGACTTCATTGAGTCGGGAAAGCAAGCTGGTGCTCGGTTAATGTGCGGCGGAAAGCGCTGGGGTGACAAGGGCTTCTTTGTCGAGCCTACAGTATTCACTGACGTGACAGACGACATGGCCATTGCTCGTAAAGAGATCTTTGGTCCTGTCATGTCGATTCTCAAGTTCAAGACAATCGACGAGGTCATCGAGCGCGCGAATAACTCGGAGTATGGTCTCGGGGCTGGTGTCGTTACGTCCAGCTTGGACAATGCCATCAAGATCTCCAATGGCGTGCGCGTTGGCACTGTGTATGTGAACTGCTACGCTGTCATCGAGCCCAATGCACCCTTTGGTGGCTTTAAGAACTCGGGTTTCGGTCGCGAGCAGGGCGAACAAGGGCTACGCAACTACTTGGAGAGCAAGACGGTCATAATCAAGCGCCCAGATGACTCGATGCCATAAAATGGTAAAAAGTGACAGTGGGAGCCAGAGAGAAGGGGAGCGCTACGCAGTCGTAGACGCACAGATATAATCGAAGACTGCGGAACTTAATCATTTGACTCCCGGATTATTGCGTACACCACACTAAACAAGGTAGGGCGGCCGATCGTGCATGTCATGAGGCTGCAGTGTCATTCTTTTTTTCCTTTCTCCTTTATTTTTGACAAATCGTGCGTGTGGACGGTAGCTGACCTTGATGTGAGTAACCAAGATCGACGTAGCCATTTCTTACTTTCCGCCAATCACTTCTCTCGCTCAGACGACTGCTCGAACGAGTGGTTTTGGCAGTGCCCTCGGTCAGGTCAGTTTTGATTCCACACCGTTGGTCACTAGCCGTCGACGCGTCTTCGAGAAAGCCCTGCCGCTCCCTTTCGCCCCTTACGCACGTACTCGTCACCCCGACAGTCCCCTCTGTCCGACGCCGTCCAACGCTCTCTCTCTCTGTTCTTCTCCGTCCGGCGACTTTCGCGACTTGGCTACAGTGCATGCGTTTGCAAATCACGTGCGCCCACATTGATTCTACTAGTAGTGTCTCGTCCTGGAAACGAAAGCGGCAGGAAACAGCTGTGCATCGTCATCCCCCGGGTCCTTCCCTCCGTCACCATTCCCCATTTCGATCTCCAGCTGAGCACCACGTGATCTCTCTCACGAGACAAGATAACACGCTATTCTTTCGCTAATTTGAAGCGCTGTCTTCGATTCTTCAGCTCTAACTGCGTGACAACCAGCAGCTTTTTTGCACCATGTCGCTCATGAACATTGCCGGAACGCAGCCAGTGGACGACCCGGAGTACCGCTATAAGATGCCGAGACTGCAAGCGAAGATCGAAGGCCGAGGCAACGGGATCAAGACGCTGGTCGTCAACTGTGCCGATATTGCAGCATCCCTTCATCGCTCGACAGCGGAAGTGTGCAAGTTCTTTGGCTGTGAGCTCGGTGCCCAGTCTAAGTACGACGACAAGACGGACCGAGCCATTGTGAATGGCGCGTTTGAAGCCGCTATGATGCAGCAGCATTTGCTGAAGTACATTGAAGGGTTTGTGCTGTGTCCTGCTTGTCGGCTGCCTGAGACGAAGTACAAGTTTAAGGGTCAGCTCATTTTTCACAAGTGTTACGCGTGCGGCGCCGTCGAGCCAGTAGACATGAACCATAAGCTCACGACGTTTATCTTCAAGGAGCACACGGCTGCCAAGCGCGGTAGTAAGGACGACAAGAAGAAGAAGGACAGGAAGGACAAGAAGGAAAAGAAGAGTAAAAAGTCACAGGACGAGCCGGAAGACGAGTCCAGTTCGAAGGAGAAGAAGGAGAAGAAGGAGAAGCGCGACAAGGACAAGAAAGAAAAGAAGGACAAGAAGAAGAAGCACCACAAAGACAAGGCAACTTCGGGTGCCGACGAAGACGACGAGGTGGTATGGCACACGGATTTGTCGGCTGAGGCTGTGGCAGCCCGTGCTGCTGAGGCGGAGGCCATTGAAGCTGCTGCTGCCGCGGCCATGCAAGCTGCAGCTGCAGAGGAAGTCGTAGCGACGCTGGACAACCTCCAGGTGGATGACGAGAACGCTCTGGACTCGGCGGTTTCAAACTTGCAACGCTTTTTGTCGGAGAACCACTCGGAAGCAGAAGTTTTCGAGGAACTGTGCCGCCAGCAGACGTATTCGGCTCTGCCGATCACAGACCGTCTTGTGATCTTCTTTCGCTCTGCGTTCACTGAGCAGGTTCTGGCGAAGAACCAGGTGACGAAGTATGCGCCAGTGCTCGAGCAAATCGTTGATAGTCAGCACGCGCAGTACCAGTTGCTTGCGCTTGTCGAGCATTTCTGTGCAGTTGAGCACTTTGCGCTGCTGACGTCGTTCCCACTTCTCTTGAAGTTGCTCTATGACGAAGACTTGTTGGAGGAAGAGTGTCTCGTGACTTGGGCTAACAACGGTGTCCGGAAGGAGTACGCGCACTGGGCTGTCACGGACGAGCTTGCTGCGAAACTGAAGGACCTAATGGGGCCCTTTATTGAGTGGCTCGAGAACGCTGAAGAGGAGAGCGGTGATGACAGTGACGACTGAGTTGTTGGCGATCGAGGTCGTCAATACCTGCTTGTGCTGCAGCAAGCGCATTACATGTTAGTTGCCGCTAAGTGACGCTCGGCACCTTTTTACTTCTTTTCTTCGTGAATATACTTGCTTTGCAAATGATGGAATGGTCATTTAGCATGTTCTGTCTGATCAGGTCAATGAGAGGTCCACTCGATCTTGAAAACAGATTGATGAAAGCCCTACTGGGAAACCTAAGGTCTTGTTCGTTGTAATGCATCGTCAATCCTCGTGGCGATTGAATCTACAATCTCGGAGGTCTCATTCTCAAACATTGCACGCGCACGCGACGATGCACTGTCTGCTTCATCGGCCTTGCGTCGCAGCGACGCAGCCACATCGTCCGCTATGAACGGTGCAGTCGCCTTAAGCTTGAACATGTACTCGTGGAAGCGCAGGAACTTGCCCTGTCATGCATGTCAAGCAAAAAGTGACTACTCTCCGCCCGATGCATTCTTTCAGTTCAAGTAGTAACGACAACAGCGTACCTTACAAGTTGCCGCGCCAAGCGTAAACACTGGCTTGCCCGCCGCAATGGCTTCCGTCGTCATGGAGATCGAGTCCGGCGTCGTCACGATGCAAGACGCCGTGGCGAGCAATGCATAATACGGATTGCGACGTTCGGTGCCATTCCACACGAGCACTTGTCCAGGCAGTGGCAATTTTGCATAAAGTCCACGACGAATGACCTTCTTGACAATATCGGGCGTACGCCGTGAGAACGTCACGAGCACTGCTACCTCGTCATAGTCGCCACGCAGTAGTGCTCGTCCCAGTTCTTCCACCATATCATCCGCCTCATGCTCGGTGAATCCAAAGCCACGACAAGGTCCTCCTACAAGCCACACGACGCGTGTTTGTCGACCGTAAAGCTTCTCGTCCAACTCCTTAGACCATTTACAGCCATGATGCAGCAATAAATCGCGCGTAACAGCGTGAATAGACCCTGATGTACAAAATAGATTTGTTGCACCGTCTCTTGTGCGCAAAACGTCGTGGCGAGGTACGACAACAGCGTCAAACCACGAAAGGGGCACGCGTGGGTGCTGTATCTGCACGTTGAACGTCGTAGTGGGCGCTACTTGCTTCATCATGACACCGAGCGCGACGGTGCTCCCCCCACAGCCAATCGCGACGGTGAACGTGTGCAAATCCTGGTCCAGCGCAAGCAATGAGCGCGTACTTTCTTGCTCCTTGTAGCCGAACACGGGGTTGCGCATGATGCGAGCACCGACAACCTGCAGCACGGGAGGGATTCCACGCGCCGTCCCCAGCGTCACGCGCACACAGTCCACGGGCAGACAGTGCAGTCGGGTCTTGAGATGCTGACGGAGCTTGTGTCCGAGTGCGAGCGCCTGTTTCTCCGCTCCAGCCGCGCCATTACCGAGCACGAGCACGCGCACAATGGGATTCGTGCTGGTGGTTCCGCATCGATAGCGATTGACCATCACTCTTGTTTTTTCCATTCGGTGGCACGAGTCACGGACGACGTCGATGACCACCATTCAGTTGTTGGTGTGTGCCACTTCGAACAAAAAAGCACACGTACTTACACAGCTGCGCACTTACGCAATATAAACGCGAGCTCAATGGCGAGCGCGTCACCTGTGGAGATCCTGCGCTCGACGCGGCAGCTGCCAGTGGCGGAGCGAGAGCTCGTCTTTACCAAACGACCGGTCGATGTTGCATCCTCTCTTTCCTCTGCAGGTGCTGCCTGGGGCAAGAGCACGCGCAAGTGGGTGGCGGCCCCGTCCACTTGCTCTTCTTCTGTCCGGGAGTTTGGCGACGTCATGCCGCACGAGCTACGGACGCTAGTAGCCGCTTCTTTTGACGTGTTTATGCGCACGCAGAAACGTTCAGATGAGCCGCGTGTTTTTGTTGTGAGACGCGCCAGTCGCGAGTACCGTGAAGCGCTCGCGACGTGCATTTTGTCGATACAAGACCGTCGTCTCAAGACGCAAGCACTGGATCATGTGAACACGCAGGAGGAGAGTGACTTTCTGCACTTGATGAATGTGTCGCTAACGATCTGGCGCTTGTGTGAACTGCTGCTGCTCCGCGGGGGAGCGAGAGGAGCTGACAGGACGCTTGCATATGAGCTGGCGCAATGGCTGCAGGACTGTTACTGTAGTAAACTGGTGGAGAATGCCGAGATGGAGAGTAGGCGACTAAAACAGCAAGAGAAACCAGAAGATGACGCGGCATTCTGGAGGACAGTTGAGGAATGGGTGATGATGGGAAGTGGCGTCAGTGCCTGGAGTTTATTGGCGTCGCACTCAAACTACAAGTCTTTATTTTCTCGTGACGCGCTGTCGGTCACCGGAACATCGACAAAGGCAGGCTTTCAAGCAGTGCAGAAGCTGCTGCTGTCGATGCCGGGAAGAAACTCTATGAATGTGGGCATGAACTACGACGTGCTAACCGAGTGGAAGAAGTGGAATGACGCGTGTCAGTACTTGCTCAGCACTGACGGATGCATCAAAGCAAATGATGGACTAAGAACGCTGCTAGAAGTCATGGCTGGTAAGGAGCATGCATTGAAGAGCCGTGCTACCACCTGGTACGAGCTTATGATGGCGAGGCTGTTCCTAGATGAACCAAAGACGTTTGCAAACCGCTTCCAATTTGTAATGGTCGACTGCTTTCGCGCTTACAACAGTGACGCGACGCAAATGGATAGGTTTGAATCCATCGTCTTAGCTATCATGGACCATGACATTCAGAGCACGTTGCAGGAAATCGTTGCACTCGGATTTTCGTGGATGGCCGCGCATCTCGTCGACCTATTGCAAAAGAGTAATGTGGTTGCAGCCGACGACTTGGTGCCACAAGCTGGGTGTACTGTGCGGGAGCATTTTCTACTTGAATACGCCATGGAAATCGGTGCGAGCAGTGGCATGTGGCAGTTCGCGGTGCGCTACTACGAATTTTGCCCTAAGTTTGGAGTTGTGGCGATTCGATCTGCGCTGGAGCGCGAACCGTTGATAACGGATCACAAAGCCGAGCGGCTTCTTACGTACTGCAACGGGAAAAAGCTTCTGGCGCCGACTTCTCGGCGCATTATGATCCAGAGAGCGCACGAGTGCAAGACAAAAAAGCTGTATGCATCCGCACTACAATGGATGTTGCGTGGCAACCACCTCGATGACGTGGATGCTCTTTGTGATGATATCGTGCAAGAGTGCAACGACACGAACTCCCTGTCTCCTTTGCATGAGGCAGTACAGTTTGTTGAGTCATGCCCTGAGCTAGCACGTCCGCAAAAGTTGGCATGGCTGGTACGGTATCGCGAATTTCGTATCGTGTTAAATGACTGCGAGTGTTTGCGGACGCAGCTGAGAGGCGACGGTGGCATGATCAGTACGGAAATGCGTGTGAGTTTGGCAACCAAACTTCGGTTAGTGTCAATGGAAGCTGCTAAGCGGCTCGATTGGTTACTTAGTTCGACCGAGGCACCGAAAGCGCTTCGTTCCGATATACTCCAGCAAGCCGAGTATTTATTGGAGGAGTCTCCGTCTGTATTTGAACCACAACACCTGTACTCGCTGATGGCGTACCTGCGACAACTGGACCGTTCGTTTGACCGCCACGAGTTTTATAAGCTGGGCTCGAACGAGCAGCTGAAGGCACGAATTGAAGTTTCGATTTCCCGAAACTTGGCGGAAGCAATGATTCAAGCTGCTACCGCAAGCGCTAGCAATGTTTCAATAGCGGATACTCTATGTCGTCAACCGAATGTTGCGCCTCTTTGTCAGCAGCCTAATTTGACCGCAGACGCGCCTTTTACGCCCATGGAAGAATGAGTGCAGTGTTCCGTTCCGGTAAATATGGAGTCTTGCAGGAGGGGTGCAGGCACATCTACTTGTGTAAGGTCCAGTCTGCGGGTAGTGTTTCCCACACCTTGCGAAGCCGACCGCTGCTAACGTGCTTAGATGGGGATCAAATGGTTTTGCCGCTTAAGTCTGACCGTCGGCCAGGCGCGTGACTAATGCACGAGAACGTAGCAAGAAGGCGGAGTGCACTGAACTAAGCTCTTCTCTACAATAACATTGCTTGAATCTCTCTTCCTCATATCACGTCTTGCGGTCAAGAGCTTCCTCTGTAAACCCAGTGAAACATCAGAGCCATACGGTAGAGGAGCATCCTCTGGAGTTCGCTCCTCGATCTATAAATGTAATCAAGTCCGTAGATTGTGTTGTAGTAAGCACTCAACAAGTGCAACAAACAACATCAACATTAGATGCCATTATTTGGCATTGAATCACGGTAGAGTATGCCGGCCAAGACGGCCTGCCTTTGCTCTTCCTCCTTTCGTGGCGCAAGGATTGTTTTTAGCTTACGACATCGTTAATCTATCATATCAACCATACGATCACGGAAAGTCTGCCAAGTGGCGAATGTGTTGAACACTTGTCAGTACGGCGAAGTCAAATCAAGTTACTTTTCATGCTTCCAGTCTACAACCACACCGTCCAGAGTAGGCCGTTGACTCTTGTTTATCGTCATGGCATTAGACAAGCGGAGGGATACCAGTGTCCGATTATGCTTGCAACCGTCAGAGAAGAACTTGAATCTGACACTGGATTTACTTTTCACTTAAATCGTCGTCGTCGTCGAAGAACGAGACTCAGGTAGTCCTTCCACTCAACGGCCATGAAGATAGGGAGACCACATAAGGTATGGACGTCCTCGTGTGCAATGGCGATGCTCCTGTCCAGATATGAGTCCGACATCCAGTCAAAGATTGGACGTCATATTCACGTCCACGGTCACTGTCTGTTTAATATATTTCACAAGACCTTCAACATGACAGGAATAATCGCATTCTCTCTGAACCTACTCTTGGCAGCCGTGATACGTGTACTAGGGTCCCGGATATTGCAAGAATTTCTGCATTGCAACGATGAACTTAGCAATCGTAGCAAAAACCCTCACCGCTTTATCAAAGTCCTCCACCAATGCGATACCAATGTTGGCATAATTTTGAGCCACGTGAACTCCTACTGACCCTTAAACAGCCTGCTAATGTTTGGTCATACTCATCATAAACGTTGAAGCGGCCATATATGATCATTCGTGTACAACCACTGGCGATGAGCGATCCAGTCAAAGATTTCTTTTTGATCGAAGGATCAAAAGAAATCTATTCTATTGCGTGGTAGCATCCCTTCGGATATAATCAACTACTCCGGCTCGTCAAGCAGTGTTCCATAGTCACATTCTTTCACAAACTCGAAATCACCACAACCCTTTGCTTACGCCAGCAGTCTCCTAAACACAACATCCTCGCGACAGTAGCGAATCACAGTAGCATGAGCTCTACCAAGAAAGTGTTGATAAAGCACTTGGGTTGTAGAAAGCAAAATGCAAAGTGAATATATTTAGGTCCTTAGTTCGCAATCTCTTTTGCTAGTCTAAGCCTACTGGATTCTTTCAACAACACAATCCTAATCGCCGTATCGCGCATTACTAATCGTGTAGTCGCGTATCAGTAATCGCTATGTCGCGCATTACTAATCGTGTAGTCGCGTATTAGCAATCGCTATGTCGCGCATTACTAATCGCTACGTCGCGCATTACTAATTGTCTGCACGTACATTCTTGTGGTTGCCGTTTGCATGCCGAGTCGCTTCTTTTACAACACTCCCACTCGACTCGGTAGCGACACCTGTAACGGGGTGAATCGTTACATAACAATTTATAAGAAATTGTTAATAGAATATAACTATAAGAGTTATATTCTCAGAATATTGTCATAAGGACAAATATTCTGTAGCACTTACAAGTAGTTCCTAATTGGTTGATATAGGCCATTATATCAACCAACGAAGACGCGCCACGACAGACGCACGCAATGAGTGGTGAGCAGATAGTTGATTTACACATTTGTATTTAGACATAGTTAGATGAAGATAAATAGTGATTTATTGCAGACATTAACTATTATAAATACAGTTCTACTTTTTACTTTAACCAAGTACTCGCTTCTTCTTACCGTCTTCCTCTGCACGTACGAGTGTACGTGAAGTTACGAGGCACCGCCTTATTCTGTCATCAGAATAAGTAGCTTGTACTGTCACCAGTACAAGCTTCAGGGTGCCCCGTTACACCTGGCAGCACTTCGTAGTCCGTCCAAGGACCACGTTCACATCTAACATGAATATGTTGGACGATGAAGATGACCAAAGCTTTCACGCTACGCGTGACGGCTACTCCCATTTGAGCGATGTCGAATGGGATGCGGTTGAACGAATGGGTTCAACCATGTGCATCCATGCTGTTAGCGTCATGCTAGAGGCTCTCAATAGAGATGCCCAACATGCTACTATCGCCAAGTTCATTCAAAATGAACTTGACGCTGAACGCGATAAAGTAGCCTTGCTTCACCAACAAGGTTCTCAACAAGCAGAGTTGTTGAGAGAACAGGGTGCTCAACAGTTTGAACTGTTGAGACAGCAGCAGGCTGCTGCTGGTGGGTCGATACACTCGCGTCGACCCAAGACCTTGAAGATTGACATCTCCAAGTATAGGGGAGTCGAAGAGGACTCCCTCTTGAGATGGTTCGTCAAATTGGATGACGCCATAAGGGCGCGTCGCATCGACGACGAGAATATGCAAGTTGCATTTGCCCAGTCAAATCTGGCAGGACGTGCCAAGACTTGGGCACTGGGGCTCAAGTTGCACGACCCATACGCGTTTGGGTCGTTGGAAGTCTTCAAGTCGCGGCTCAGACAAACGTTTGAACCGCCTAGAGCTGAGTTCAGAGCTTGAACCGAACTCTTGAAGCTCAATCAGGGTAAGCGTGATGTGCACGCTTACGCGCAACATATACGACATCTTACGAGTTGTATAAGTTCTAATTCGGTGGATGAACACACGTTGGTTTCGGTGTTCATGCAGGGTCTTGCGGATGGTCCCGTCAAGTCTCACCTGTTCCGGCTTGAACTAGATTCACTAGAACAAGCCATTTCCATTGCGGAGCAGGAAGACTTCAGTCTGAGACAGGCTCGCGCCAGCTCGACATCATATCGTCAACCGAGACGATATGACAGCGGAGGTCCAGAGCCGATGGAACTCTGTTATGTAGAGAGCGAGAAGGCTCGCTCTACAGACTACAAGAAGTTGCAGAGATGCAACAGATGTCAAAAGACAGGACACTACGCTTACAGAGCTTACGAGTGTAGTGCCCCTCGTCCAGTGTCTCGCGACACTGGGCGTAGTGACCGTCCACCCATGAGAAAGGGGAAGGAACGAGGGTCCGCAGTTGGTGCAAAGACGCAACAACGGGATGGACCGTCAAAAAACGGACAGGATCAGTAGGTGCGGAGCACCCTACTGGTCCAGCAACGTCAAGAGAATTTGTAGCCTCTTGGTGAAGGTTGCTCCCAACACACAAACGTTGTGCGTTGCTGCTCTAGGTAATGAGATCTCACTCATTACCTTGAAACTCGAAGTGACGAATAAGTTGTCCCTTCGAGCTCTAGTCGATTGTGGGGCGTCCAACAATTTTGTGCGACGCCAATCGCTAGAAGATGGTCACTTTAAGTTCAGTGAATGTGACACACCTCCTACGAGGATGACGGTACGTCTTGCGACAGGCGCATCCGTAACCGTCATGAAGCGTATAGCGAAGATTCACTATACTCTAGAAGATACCCAATATGATGATGACTTTATCGTATTGGATTTGGATGACAAATTTGATGTCATCCTTGGAATACCGTGGCTCAGAAGGTACGAACCACGGGTAAACTGGCAACATCGAACAGTAACGATGCCTGCCGCTTGTTCATCAGATGACCATCTGATGAGCGTTTTGGAGCGTCCACAAGCGTGTGGATGTACTACGAGTGAGTGCGATGGCCTCACTTGTGGTACGGTCTTTAGTACGACTGCACAAAACCTTAGTGTAACAAACGGTTACACTTCGGAGCAAAGTTCCGGCGGCTGTGAGGAAACACAGGCTGCGCCGAAGGTCCACCACTCGAATAAGTCGAGTGGACCGGGACAAAGATGTATCCCTAACGGGGAACGTCTAGAAGAGAAACAATCGATCGCTCAGGTTAAGCGAAACGATAATCCTAGATCGACGGGAGAGTCTTTCGTAGAGGATCTCGCTGTGGTTGCGCAACCCCAGCTAGAGGAAGTAAAGGGAATAAGTCCCAAGATTACAAATACGGCGGAAATAAGTTCCCCGAAACCCGCGGGAATAAGTCCCCGGGAAGCCGAAGGAATAAGTCCTTCGAAGCCTGAGGGAATAAGTCCCCAGGAAATGACAGAGACATTGAATGTCATAGTCAATAACGGATCAAGTGTAGGCGCTTATACACTTGATCTGATTGCGCCTCCGAAGTTGACTTCGGAGATCACTCAGTTGCCAACGCTCGAACATAAAAGGTTCTTGCGTGATCTGCGTAGTGGCAAAGTCAAGCAGATCTGCGTACTCGTCGCTGACGACGAGTGTGTAACCGACATAAGGTCAGCAACAGTGTTTACTGAGAACGAGAGAGTTCTCAGTAGTTCATCTATGGACGAGAGTGTCCTAGATGAAAAGACACGAATTGAGCGATATGACTCCCAATCGTGGGAATCGCTCAAGACAAATCCTCTCTATGAAGATTCGGTTGAATTCAAGGATGTATTCCCTGAAACTGTTCCGTGCGAATTACCGAAGGATAAAGGTATTCGACACGAGGTCGAGCTTAAACCAGGCTCGAAGTACTGTGTCATGAAGCAGTGGCCACTGCCTCGTGAACAAGTACTTGCGATCGACAAGTTCTTTGCCGATCGTTTAGCTGCGGGCCATGTGAGGGAATCAACTTCCCCACATAGCTCTCCGACCTTCTGTGTGTGAAAAGCAACAGGAGGGTGGCGGATAGTGCACGCGTTCAACAAATTGAACGCTGCAACGGTACCGGCTCAGACGCCGATACCGAGGAAGGACGTAATCATTGATGGTATGTCAAAGAGTACCATCTTTTCGTCCATGGATTTGATGGATGGCTTCTATCAAATCCTTATGCGAGAACGGGATATGCCCTATACCGCAGTTAGCACGCCTAGCGGCATGCTCTGGGAATGGCTAGTAATGCCACAAGGGCTTAGTAATGCCACAAGGGCTTAGTAATGCCCCTGCCACGTTCAACAGATGTGTATCACATCTGTTGAGACCAGTACAAGAATTCGCGCCGAGTTATTTCGATGACGTATTCATCCATAGTCGAGCTATGGATGGAAAGTCGGACGTTGAGGTTCACAGGTACCACGTCCGACAGGTTCTTACAATCATGCGAAAGCATCAATTGTATGCAAACCTCAAGAAGTGTATATTTGCAGCAAGCGAAATATCACTTCTTGGGTACATCGTTGGTAAGAACGGTGTACGTCCTGATCCCGAAAAGATCAAGGCGATCACCGACTGGCCTGTGCCGGTTGATGTCAAAGGTCTTCGAAAATTCCTTAGGCTAGCGGCGTATTTGCATAAGTATTCACGCAATTACGCCGAGATGACTGTGCACCTCTCTCGTTTGTTGAAAAAGAACGAGAGGTGGTTATGGAACGCTGAATGTCAGCGCTCCTTTGATGGTATCAAGCAGAGCTTGATACAATCCCCAGTCCTAGCAATAGCCGATCAGGACAGGCCATTTCATGTGGTCTGTGATGCCAGCGATTTCGCAATCGGCTGTGCATTAATGCAGTACGACCTTGAAGGCGTTGAACGCGTCGTCTGCTATCAGTCGCGTCAGCTGCAACCAGCTGAGCGGAACTATCCAGTGCATGACAAGGAACTCCTTGCCATGAAGTATGCACTCGCGAAGTTCAGAGTCTATCTATTAGGAGATAGACCTTTCATTGTTTACACTGACCATGCGTCATTACGCACGGCAGTGAACAGCCCGCACCTTTCACAACGAATGGCGCGGTGGTTGTCATTCTTTGCAGAATACAACTTTACGGTCGAGTACAAACCAGGACGACTTAACGTCGTCGCTGATGCACTCTCACGTCGTCCCGACTTTGAAACAGTCGCGAAACCCAACAGTGGGACAGCCACTGTTGCGGTTATGACGTCCACAATGCCATCTTCAACGTTACATGATGATTTGAGGCGGGCGTATGCCCAAGATGGTGAAGTTGTGAAGTTGTTGACACATCTCTCCCAACCATCTCGAGAATCGTTGAAACGATTATCGTCTGCGCATCAATCTACATCAGATCGATACACTACTCGCAACGGTTTACTGTATTAAACAGCCGTTTCTGGTGACACACCACGTGTTGTCATTCCAGATGATACTGATCTGCGTTTGCGGATCATGTTCGAGTATCACGATGCTCCTATAGGAGGACATCGTGGCCGGGAGAAAACATATCTCACGGTGAGTCGAGACTTTTACTGGCCCCGCCAGTATCATTTTGTGCGAAAGTATGTTCGCGCATGCGAAGTCTGCCAACGAGTGAAGTCAAGTCCTTCACTGCGTGCACCCTTACAGCCTCTACCGGTTCCGGCTGAGTGCTGGGAATCCATCTCAATGGATTTCGTCTTCGCGTTACTCAAAGACGCACGCGGGAATACGGGTATTCTCGTATTTGTTGACAGATTCAGCCAAATGGTACACCTAGTGGCTGTACCAGAGTCAATCACGGCAAGTGGCTGTGCTTGTGTCTTTATTGACACCATCTTCCGACTTCATGGGTTGCCCCGTGAACTCGTATCAGACAGAGATCCCCGATTCACTGCTGATTTCTGGCGTTCCGTGTTCAAATCACTCGGAATGCGCTTGAAGATGTCGACATCTGATCATCCAGAGACAGATGGTCAGACGGAACGGGCCAATCGTGTCCTTGAAGAGATACTTCGAGGATACGTACACTCCTTTAAGAGTTGGAGTGAGTTTTTGCCAATGGTAGAGTTTGCCATCAACAACTCGGTGCATGCGTCCACGACACATACACCGTTTTACGTGAATGGCTTACGCCATCCGCGTGTACCCACCTTACTAGAGTGTAACTCTGGTTTAAGGGGGGGAGGGACTCGCGCAAGCAAAAACCGATTTGGTTCACGCTCATCACGCTCTGACGAAGAGGTCATTGCGTTTGATGCCGATATCGATAACATCGATATCGAAGAAGATGATGCCAGTGAGAGTGCGGAAGCCCTCACTGAAGTAGATGATCCCAGTGAGAGTGCGGAAGCCCTCACTGAAGAACAGGTTAATGTTGCTGCAGTGCGCTCACAGCGCACTGAAGCTAACGAGTCATCAGATGAGTTCATACTGGCTCGTGAAACGGTAGTCCGTTTTGTGCAAGACTCCATCGCCGAAGCGGTGGATAAGCAAAAGCAAAACGCTGACAAGAATGGAAGGGCAAACACTCTTTTATTTATTAAAGGTGACTTAGTCCTACTGTCTACGGTTAATCTACCAAAGCATGTAGTGACTATCTTGGGTAGCAGTAAACTACTACCCAAGCACATCGGCCCATTTCGTGTATTGCACCGCCTAGGCAATGCATACACGATCGAGTTACCACGTAAGATGCGAACGCATCCCACGTTTTACGTTGGTCGGCTTAAGCCGTACCATCAGTACGCTGCTTCTTCCGATGAAGAACGCCCTTGCGCTCAAGCATCTCGCAGAGAGCCTTGTGCTCCCGATGGTGGGCATCAACAAGGGTCTGAAGAGCAGCTATCTCATCCCGAGACCGATCAACAATCCCACGAGCTACCCTTAGCTCGTCACGAAGAGATGTCAGAGATCTCTCGTTCTCAAGCTGAGCAAAGGCAAACTCAGCTCGATGCTTCGAGACAGTGTCCGCCATTTGGAGACGCCTGTCCCGCTCATGTTCGAGATCGTTGCGTAACCCTTGCGTTACGCGATCAAAGAAGCTCTCGGGAACACACGGATCCCCACGATCGTGTGGAGAGCGTCTTTCCTCCTCCTCCACCTCCATTAGAGGACTCTCGCGGTGGCCAGCGCTATCTAGTTGAGCAGCTGTTGAACCACCGCGACGTGAACGGACGTCGGACGAGTTATCTCGTCCGGTGGCGCGGCTATCCCCCGTCCTGGGATACTTGGGAGCCCCGCTCCCAACTGATGATTGACGTACTGGGTCTGGTTGAGCAGTACGACGCGGCACATTCTGTGCCGCAGAAGGACCACCGGAGAAAGTCTTCCCGGCACGGTCGTAAAGGGATTTCAGGTTGTCAATCCCTTCGTACATCTCAGTAGAGACACGTACGCTCCACCACGGGCTGGTAAGGAGGTAAGCCTCCTTAGGTGCTCGTGCAGAGTTGTTGACACAACATGGGCACGAGTCTCCCCATGAGAGGCAGGGTAATACCTTCTCCCTTGACAGACGATGCAGCTTGTAGCGTGCACCTGTCGGGGTTCGCTTTTCAAACTTATCACGAGCTTTGATAAGTTTGTCGTTCCAAGCGTCACGACCTACATCCTCAAGGTTATGGATGTAAGCGTTCCACGCCTGAAGCAGTGAGGGACCATCACGCTTGTGATTCCCACTGTACCATCGATGTCTAAAGAAAGCATTGATGAAGAATTCATGTTCAGCGCGATAGTTTTTCGCGCTGGGGTCAAGGTGATGGATCCTTGACGAATCGAACAATCGTGTTCGATAACGATCACTCGTCGTCGCCGACAAGTGATCCATGACTGATTTGGGAGGCATCCATGCCTTCTTCTCAGGAGCGAGACGCAAGGCATTGCGGTCCCGCTCTTCCTGCGATGTGTTGACAGAAGTACTGGCACCTCGTTGCGAAGTGGTGTCCATAGGAGAACCGACACCACTGTTAGTGCCCGAGTCTCGCGACCTCGAGCGCCTACGCTTCGGCGATGGTTCATCTGATGAATCAGATGAACCAAAGATGCTACGACGCAAAGCATCATCCATGCCACGCTTGGCAGGCGGCTTGGATTCGATCGCCGTCGATACGGATCCGTCTTCCGTATCAGGAGAGTACGAGACACCGAGCTCATACTCTGTGAAGACATGAGTGTCTTCATGACCAGCGCCTGCATCACCAAGTGACACAGGCTGGGTCGCTTCAGCAACCGATGAGACATCAGTTGCTGTGGTTTCTGCTTCGGCGTCTGCACAGAGACGTGCGGACGCGCTCTCGGCGGCCTTGCTCGCGCATCGCATGGGCTTGTTAACCATGTGATGAATTGTTGGAAAGTGGACTCGGACCAACAAGTGCAAACCCTGTCCCAAATGATTTGGGACGAGTATCCATTTAGTCAATCAGTCACTAAAGTGACTGATGGTTAAGGGGGGGATGTAACGGGGTGAATCGTTACATAACAATTTATAAGAAATTGTTAATAGAATATAACTATAAGAGTTATATTCTCAGAATATAACTATAAGAGTTATATTCTCAGAATATTGTCATAAGGACAAATATTCTGTAGCACTTACGAGTAGTTCCTAATTGGTTGATATAGGCCATTATATCAACCAACGAAGACGCGCCACGACAGACGCACGCAATGAGTGGTGAGCAGATAGTTGATTTACACATTTGTATTTAGACATAGTTAGATGAAGATAAATAGTGATTTATTGCAGACATTAACTATTATAAATACAGTTCTACTTTTTACTTTAACCAAGTACTCGCTTCTTCTTACCGTCTTCCTCTGCACGTACGAGTGTACGTGAAGTTACGAGGCACCGCCTTATTCTGTCATCAGGATAAGTAGCTTGTACTGTCACCAGTACAAGCTTCAGGGTGCCCCGTTACAACACCGACAGTGATGCCGAGTTTAGTATGGAGGATGGTAAACTGTGGCGCTGCGATTGCCTTGGTCATGATGTCAGCGAGCATATCTTGCGTCGGACAGTACTGTAGCACGACTTGATTCTTTTCGACCTTTTCTCGCACGAAGTGGTAGCGAATGTCGATGTGCTTGGTGCGTTTAAGGAACTCTGGGTTCTTGGTCAACGCAATAGCACCTTGATTGTCGTCATAGATAGTTAGAGCGTCATCGCCTAATTCTTCGCCGAGCTCACGCATGAACTTCTTGAGACACGTCGCTTCTTGGGTCGCCTCCGACAGTGCCATGTACTCTGCTTCGGTAGACGAGAGTACCACGCTGCGCTGTTTCTGCTTCGCCAGCTGATGCAGCCGTTGTTAAGCACAAATACGTAGCCGCTGGTACTTCGTCTAGTATCGATATCTCCAGCCCAGTCGGCATCGGAATAGCCAAGCAACTTGCCATTGCCAGCGCCAATAAAACGAATACCAAGTGTAGGAGTCGCTCGCAGGTACTGTAGCACGCGCTTGCGTGCTTGCCAGTGTGTTGGACACGGGTCAGCAGCAAACTGGATGAGCACTCCCACTGAAGCTGCGAGGTCTGAACGCGTGCCTACCATGAGGTACATCAAGGCTCCGACGGCACTTCGGTATGGCACTCCTTGCACGGTGTAGTTGTGCTTGCATCCATCTTTGCACATGCGCTTAGTCAACTTCAGTCCGGGATCTTGCGGTGTCTTAACAGGCTTAGAGTCTTGCATACCGAACTTGGTCAGAATCAATCGCAAGAACTTAGTCTGTTTCATCGATACATCGCCTGACTTGTCATCGCTCTCTACTTCTATTCCGAGGCAGTACTTAAGCTCATCGAGATCGGACATCTCGAATCGCTCGCTTAATGCACGTTTGGTGGCTGCGAGGATGTCCATGTTGTTGCACGCAAGGATGAGGTCGTCGACGTATATGACAACAAACATCATGACCTTGTCGTCACGCTTGGCGTAGACACAGTGATCCATCTCGCACTTGGTGAAGCCAATATTGCGCATGAACTCATCAATAGTCTGGTTCCACATACGAGGGGATTGCTTGAGTCCGTACAACGCATGCTTGAGCTTGCACACATGGTGAGGATGATTGGCATCAACGAATTCGTCAGGCTGCTTCATGTAGATCTCTTCTTCAAGCATACCGTTAAGAAACGCCGTTTTGACGTCCATTTGGTGAAGTACGAGGTTGTGCTGCGCGGCGAGGCTCACAATGATCCGAATCGACGCGAAATTGGCCACTAGTGCGAACGTCTCCTCGAAGTCCACACCGTACTTTTGCAAAAATCCTTTTGCTACGAGGCGCGCTTTGTATCGCTCGATGAGTCCATCAACAGTCTCCTTCACCTTGAACACCCACTTGCTGCTGATCGCCTTGCGATCACTTGGTAACGGCACGAGTTCCCACGTGTTGTTCTTGCACAATGACTGAACTCTGATTCGCACGCTTCACGCCACTTTCTTGCGTCGCTGGATTCCATAGCCGATGAGAATGTCATCGGCACTTCTCCCACTGAATCCACGACGTTAGCACAGTCTATTTCATGTTCTTCTTCTTCTTTTTCATCAATAGATGCGAGAAGCGCCGACATGGCTTCGAGTGGTGACGCAGTTCCTTGCATTAACGATGTGTTCACACCACTTGTACTAGCCCCGCGTCCATAGCGTTTTTCCACTGCTGGCTCTGACAAAGCTTCTAGTGACTGTGTGCGTACATGTCTTTTCGACCCCGGTAGAAACTCGTCTGTCTGCTGCTGCATATACTGCGGTTGATGACTTGAACGCCGCATTTGTTGCCATTGTGGCCGCTCATGGATCGATGCTGATTCGGGCATATGCGCATCCATGTCTTCATTGGCAACCCCGTTGTCACGGTCGTTGAAGCCTTCATCAGTGTTATGATACTCGATATGGTCGATGCCACTTTGTTGCATGTACTTCCCGCTGTCGAACATGTCTTCCATGAATTGGGCGTCGCGACTCACTAGAATGCGACTGCTTGATATTTATTCAAACCGGTACGCCTTTTCGTGGTCTGAGTAGCCCAAGAAGCGACACAACGTCGATCGCGCATCAAGCTTCGACCTCTTCTATTTCGGCACATGCACATATGCGTGACATCCAAAGACTTTCAGGTTTTTCAACAACGGCTTCGTCTTCGTCCATACCTCGTGCGGGCACTTTTCATGGCCAATTGCTTGCGTTGGACATCGATTGCGTAGGAGCGCTGCCGTTGACACTGCTTCGCCCCAGTAGCGCTTGCTTAGTCCCGCATGCTCAATCATGCATCTAGCAATCTCGACTAGAGTCCTGTTCATTCGCTCCGCCACTCCGTTAAGTTGTGGGGTGTACGGCGGCGTAAATTGCTGTATGATGCCTTTGTTGCGACAGAACGCGGCGAACTTGTTGGACACATATTCTCCACCGTTATCGTTGCGGAGCATCTTGATGCGACGATCGGTCTGAGTCTCGGCAAACTTGGTGAACTGCGTGGATTTGTCTAACACTTCAAACTTGCTGTGAATTAGGTACACAGTACAAAACCGCGACTTGTCGTCGATGAACGTCACAAAATAGCGCTTGTTGGAAAATGTCGAAGTCTGCATTGGTCCACATACATCGGAATGCACGACATCAAGCAGGTCCTTGGCTGGTTTACGTGTAGTTGACTGAAAACTCACTCGCGTCTGCTTTCCGAGCGCGCATCCGTTGCAAAGCTCCCACTTGCCCACAGATGTAATGTCGATGCCGACACCGAGATTCTGCTTCACGATCGCGTCGAGTCCACGATGGCCAATGTGACCAAGATGCAGATGCCACAAGTATGACTTGCTCATCTGAGGCTTGTTGGATTCACTTTCGATGCTCGCGCTCTCGACTTGCACATGTGTCATGCATAGTCTAATGAGACCTTTGCCGGCACGCTCGCCGATCTTCCACTTCTGGTTCTTGAATTTGCATAGCAGGCGCTCGTATCAAACGTCACTGTCGCGACATCCTTGGTGAATCGGCCGACTGAGAACAGATTGCGTGAAAGCTTTGGATTGTGCCACACATTCGTAAGCACACCCTTCTTGGCACCACTTGGTGTCTTCATCATCATCACTACTTTGCCGGCCCAATCGCCTGCACGACCGCGTCGTCTGCGAGATGAACGTTAACTGGATCGATGGTCTTGTAGTTTGTCATAAACCGCTTTGATAATGACATGTGCTGCGTCGCACCAGAGTCTATGAGACATGCTGGATTCTTGACGCTGTCGTCGTCGTTGCTCTCCAATCCAGCTGCAAACAGGAAATCGTTCAAGTTTTCATCTTGGTTGTGCGCCACATTCGCACGCTGCGGACGCTGCCGTTCCGCGTTGTCATGGATCCGCGAGGTACATCCGCGATCCAATGACCCATCTCCCCGCAGTAGTTGCACGCGCCAGTCTTCTTGAATGGCCGTCCACTACGCTTCTTCTCACCTGTCATGAGCGCTTGACCTGCAGCGACCCCGTCACTGCCTTGCTCCTTGCGCTTCATGTCTTCATGTAGCAGCCTGGATGTCACCGGTTCCCACGACAGCGAGTCGGCCCTTGACTCCAAAGCAGTAATGAGAAATGCAAACGACTCACTTAAGCTTCCAAGTAGCGTGATCACCAGGTCGTCTTCGCTGACCGGAGCACCCACCGCGTCGAGTTGTTTCGCCAGTGTCTTTATCTTGTTAATGTGCGAAAGCACATCATCGCCTTCCTCCATCTTGGCCGTGAAGAAACGGCGACGAAGAAAGAGCTTGTTGGCTAAGCTCTTCTTCTCAAAGTGGCCTTCCAGCCGCGACCATGCATCGTACGCTCCACTTGCCGACCGAACCAGGGGCAGCTGCGAGTCCTCCATCGCAAGACAGATTATCGTGAGCGCCTTCCGTGACTTGCGCTAGAACGTTGACTGCTCCAGCGTAGTGGCAAGGTGTTTCAGCTTGATCCCCCCGCTTGTCACTTCCCAAAGGTCCCGCTCCTCCAGCACCATCTGCATTTTGAACTTCCAAGTGTGGAAGTTCGTACCATCAAACTTGTTGATGCGAGCGTTGGTGGCGGTGGCAGCGTCCATGTTGAAAGCAAAGTCGGCGTCGGGGGCAGAGTCAGCAGAGCTTCAGCTCATAACCTGTTGAAAAAGCACTTGGGTTGTAGAAAGCAAAATGCAAAGTGAATATATTTAGGTCCTTAGTTCGCAATCTCTTTTGCTAGACTAAGCCTACTGGATTCTTTCAACAACACAATCGTAATCGCTGTATCGCGCATTACTAATCGTGTAGTCGCGTATCAGTAATCGATATGTCGCGCATTACTAATCGTGTAGTCGCGTATTAGTAATCGCTATGTCGCGCATTACTAATCGATATGTCGCGCATTACTAATCGCTACGTCGCGCATTACTAATTGTCTGCACGTACATTCTTGTGGTTGCCGTTTGCATGCCGAGTCGCTTCTTTTACAACAGAAAGCATTTCATCTCTCTTCGCCATCCCTTTCATATTTTATCTCTTACGGATCGTATGTAGCCTAAAGAGAATGATCAATTAAGTATTGCTTACAAAACACGCTTCAATCTTATGATTTACCGCATCCGCGCAGGCAGGAAAGGTAACAACGATGGTACTCTTTGCTTGAGATCGCGCGACCCGTTTAGTACCTCCAACCGGCATTATCGAAAGATTGCAGGAATTGACGCTACGATACCAACTAAATAGTGCTTCAGTCAATCTGGACTGTGCACGTTCAGTGAACAGCGTCAAAAAATGTCAGCAATTGCAACCTCTTTGGTGTCATGGTCCACATGCAGCTTATCAGTGCTGAATGAAAGCTATTGCCTTACAAAGCTGAGGAGCAAATGACAGTTTTACCGTCAAAAATCATTTGACCCCTCCTTCACCCGACGATGTAAGCATCAAACCGTAAAAAAACACTTTTGAGAATTAATTACTGGCTACCTAGACATTGTGCATCAAGGATGCATATGTGTTTTGCAACGATTGGCCACAATATGCTCCCTGGAATGCATGTGACCTAGCCTATGCGATTTTGTCCATGCAGCTGGATTTTGCTTAAAGCTCTTAGCGTCCGAAGTGAGGCTTAGCACCCTCGATTTAAATTATTCGTATCGCCTTGCAAAACGAATCGGATAGAGTAACTGCAATTTTTTTCGTTTTGATGCAATTAATACTATCGGAGCGTCAAACGTGTTGCTGCGTCAGTTCAATAGCTCCAAATAGTATTCGCATCTGGAGCGAGATGATATGTGTGGTCGAATACGTTCTTATGGGTAATGTGACAATATGAACTACCGCATCTGGCAGAAATTTTTTAAAAACCTCATCCTCGTTGCAATCGTATAAACGTAAGAAATAACTGGATGATCTGTCTCGAGATCGTGACGAACACATGTATGCAGATGATCGGAGTGGATCCGATTTATAACATGTATGCTCTGCAGCTATTCAGATGCACGTCTTTAACGTTGGGTAGCGGCTGACAACCTGGTGTTTTGGACCCATTCTTGGACTTAGCGATACTACAAGCGCGAATCGCAGTCCTAGGTTGCCACTCATAGCGGGACCATATCCATTTGAATTCAAGAACGGCTTTGCAAAAGCACCAGAAGCACTCGTTCATAGATCACATGAGTACTAGTCGAAAAGAAAGGGGTTTTGGCAACGTCACGAGGGCGCCTGCCCATTTTATCAAGGTAATCGGGCATATTCTCGTGAATGCACTTCCAGTTGCAGCCGGCAAAGACTAACGTGAAGATGGTAGAACTACAACCTTTATTATGAAGGGCAGCTTCCGAATCTTGACGTAAGTGGCACCAGAAAGGATCGGGGACCGTGTGATCCGTTTTATTAAACTTTGTTAAGTACTCATTCTGCGTGACTCTTGTAGAGTAAAAAAAAAGGGGATCAGGCATTCTTATTTGGAAAAATGGTGGAGTGAGGAAGAGTTCTACGCCATAGCTTACCTTATCTATCACCATAATTTAGGGTAATGATATTTCCACCCCCGGGTTACTTTTTCCACCCCCCTTAAAACCAAAACATGATTGTTTTCCATTTTTATAACACAGCGCGTTGCGTAAGGTCACGCGTAAACGACAATGTAAGTATTATGTCCAGAAGGTAGATATACAATTTAAGTCACCACTATGAGATTAACGGTTAAAAAATTGCCGATAACCAGTACGTCTCTTGTCTCGAGGATGGATGCTAGTGAAAAAGAAGCTCGCGATCAACAGCAGTGCGAGCTGAGCACGAGCGCAAACTCAAGCGGACGTTGACTGGGGTAAAGAACGGTGCTCCGCTTCCTGATTTCTAAAGCAGTGAGGAAAGTTTCGGACGGGATGAACCGCATGCTGGAACATGATCTTGCTAATTACTCAAAGGTGAAGGCAAGTCGAAGAAATACAAGAAGCGCAAAAACGCCTCGAGTACTGCAAAATCGCGCCAATAGCAAATCTACAATAAATATTTTAAATAGGTCAATGCGAACAAGTTGAACCTCTCGAGCAGTACGACCTGCAGGTGTGCTTACGTGATGTGTGATATATTCGTTTTGTGTGCGTACGTAACGACGCAGAAAATGACATACATCACGATATATCTGAAATAAAATAATATTTTTAGGATGCTTGCTCTTAGTGTGTGCGCGCCTTTGACCGATCCGACAATCCTGCTCGATCGCACGCAACGGTCATCTTCTCTTTTTTGTAGTCGGATCTGAAGATCAAAATTGAAAGGTTATGCGCGTGTGCTTATAATTGAGAAGCTGTGATCTTCTATGTTGCTGACGGATACTTCACTTCGAAGAACTCATTAGACTCCATCAACTTTCGTGAAGATCCTTTTGGAAGTTGCAGTGGGAATGGAGGTGCGTAGGGCCGATCGATATAGTTGCCATATATCGATTCTATACAAGTTGTAAAATACACCCTGTTGGTTTAGTGGGGCTGGAAATAGCAAAAATGGGTGTGTGTGAAAATATAATTACTCTAATTTTCAGCAGTCAGATTTCACAAAGGCATACTTAAGATTTCCATCAAAATGACCGTTGTCATGGTAACGAAGGAGGTGAGCACTAGATTAATCTTTGAATGGGGCGAAGCGCCGATCTGCATTTCAAGATTTGTGAGATTTAATGAGGACAGCTTCACGCGAGACATGGATGTGCCCAAGACTGTTTCGGACCTTTGCGAATACTCAGCGTTGTGCCATGCAAACGAGTGATACGAATGATCGAGTATAAGGGGCTTGTCTATCGCATGTTGTACAAAGCAGAGTGGGTTTTTTTCATTGTCGATATTGACAGCACCTAAACCTCGACCATCTTTCAGTACGTGATACTTGACCATCTTAATAATTACTCCAGGAAGACATAATTTATCGAAAAATGTAAAATGCATTATCCTTGCGAAAGGTGGAATCGAGCCCAACAAACTCGAGATGATGCAGTGCCAGGAAACGGCGTCATGTTACTCGGTGAATAGGGAATGGTGAAACTGTGTGACTTGAAACGAGTGGTAGTGATCAAGACCTACGGACAAGGTTAGCAAAGGACTAGCAGAAGTGATAGGATGCAAGGGTAAATTCAGAGTCTATTTATCCTGTGTCACAACAGCCTTTCTTTTTATCAGTAAATACCTGGTACACACGAGCGTCTTGTAGTCTGCGAGCTTCCAGCAGCGTAAAATTCGAGAACTTGCTGTGTAACGGGGTATGTTGTCTGTCCACATTAAGCCAAGCCCGGTAGATCTGGATGGTACAGTCTTCGTACCATGCACTTACGGTAATGCCGCATCTTATCGGTTAAGAAAAGGGAAAAGACTTTTGTCATAGGATCGCAATGTAGAAGTCAGTCCAGCAAGGTTTTAAGGTTAATTATTGTAGTTAAAGAATAAATAAATTTCAGTTCCCCTTTTGAACCGTTGGACGCTGGTGCCTAGTCAAGGCGTAGAGTGTTGGTTAGCTCATTAGCCTTGTAAAGGCGCTTACTCTTACTTAATTAGTAGTGACTAGTTAGTGTGAGATTCTGTAAATCGTAATCCCTTTGGAACCGGCATTGTTAAGCTTGTACGCTTGAACGACTGTACGTCGTTGTTAATTTGTTACAAACAAGAGACGCTTTGAGTCTAAGACTATCTCTGTCTAGGAGTGCTAAGTAGCTCCGCTACACTAAGTAGCGCTTGTAGTCAGTCTGCACCTGGTTCTTCACAGAATGGATACTCTGCGAGGATAGAAACGGCCGTGAATCTCTCTGAGGCCCAGCAGATCACGCTTAAAAGGAGGTCAATGCGTTCATCAGGCACAATCAAGTGACTCTTATAATAGCGTAAGGCCCGGATGCACTTCGTGCACGTCTCGAGGCTATCTCTAGCTTCTAGTTCACGTTGATGGGAAGGTTCCATGACCATTTGGCATCAGCCATGCCCACTCAATATGTTCCGATACCGGACACTGAGTCAAGGACTCTCCTCCTGGTTTTAAATGTCAAGACTTTAGAGGGGAATGAGGGAGAAAATCTCTTTTTGTGGGTCCGAGAGCTAGAGTTTGCCATCAGCTCGGCCCTGCTGCGGTCAGAGAAGCAAAAGGTGGGCCTGGCCTATCAAAGTTAGGTGGGCGAGCCAGGGAGTGGGCGACATCTTCTAGCACCTCTGTAGACGAGTATTTTTCCACCTGATACATGCTAAAACAGCAGCTATCTCGGTCGTTTGCTCCGCCTAGTAAGGCACATCGCGTGTAATAACGCTTCCTGTCAACCCGCCAGGGTAAAAGGACTTAGTTGATCATGTCTACTAGTTGCAAACTCCAATTGCTGCTATGCAACTTGGCCTTTTACCTGAGACGGTTTTAGTAATTATTTTCATGGAGGGTATTTGCACTGGTGTTTCCAGAACAATAGTGTTTCGTACACAACCCTCGACATTCGAGGGCGCAGTGGACATATCGTTGAAGTTAGAGCTCAACTTTAAAGCTGATTGATACGGAACTCATGGCTTTTGATCGGACTAATCGAGCAATGATCATCTTATGGATCGGGCAGAAACCATGGACCTAAATCTCG